CTTTTGGCTAGGGATCTGTTTGTTGGTTCTGCATCGTGGTTCTGTTGGATTATATTCTGGAGCTTTTCTGGAATAAATCATCACTTAATAGACTGGTTCACTATCAGAACTTTTATTTGGTTTCTATCGAGGCGTTTACAAGCCTTTCGACATCGCCATCTCTAGATAATTTCTAGTGGTACGAAGTGTGCCATTGTTTTGCCAGAGTATGAAACTTGGGATTTAAGCTTTGAGAATTCGTGCTCTCATGGAGGCTCGCTAATAGATATGAGAGCAGATTATGACCAAGTTAAAATGTCATGATGGTGATGTTGTTTATCACCTTAAAATGGGAGATGTTAAAATTCCCAAACCTGAAGCTTTGTTCCTCATGATGTATAACATCTATTGGTGTTTTATTTGAAATTTTATATTCTCTTCATACCGTGTGATAAACAAGATAAGTAAACGGACAATTGAACTAAAGAGATTAAACCGGTTAAGGATGGATATTCCTATATCAGCTTATTATTATGTGTGCTCGAAAAAAAAACTTATTGAAAAAAACAATAAAACACAAAAAATTCTTAAACGGTCGGCGTATAATTAATATCAAGCTACCTTATATAAAGATATAATAAAGGAAATCAAGATTAAACATGGAAATAAAATTAGAGAAATGGAAATTCGGAGAAAAATAGAAAAACGATATGAAGAAAGAACCTACTGTATTTGTGTTTAATGTAAAACACATTATATATCACATACCCTCTCTTTTCATTTATAGTATAAGAATAAGCTCCGATTGCTGACCAAAAGCAGAAAAAGATTTGATTGCTGTCCAAACAAAAATACTTCTACAAATATATATACATAAAAGTATTTTGATCAGGAATGAAGCATTCGAAGGAACCGTTTGTAGTAGTAATTGAGGAGGAGCAAGAGGAATCGCCACCGGGATCACCGGTTGGAGGCGGAGATGGTAGTGACGGTGGACAAATGGAACACTGTCAGCTGAAGAAACGTAAAACCTACCTTGTTGCTGAAGCAAAGAACAAAGAAGAAGTTGGGCTCACCAAATACACAACTAGTGGTGCTCCTGTGAAGATGCAGACCATATTAGCTCAATACACAAAGGATCAAATGAGGATATGAATCTTTCAGGAAATCTACTCTTGAAAAAAACCCCATGAAAAAGTTATTAGAGAGAATAATACAGAGGAGTCTGAAGGAAGATGATAAGCCAATGACAATGGTTGTGAGTAGTATCACAAAGATGTTTGTTGGTGAACTTGTGGAAACATCTCGAGTTGTTATGAGGGAAAGGAAAGAATCAAGACCTATTAGACCTTGTCATATCAGAGAGTCATATCGAAGACTTAAGCTCCAAGGAAAAGTCCCTAAAAGATCAGTTCCAAGGCTTTTCCGCTAGTAGTTACAGAGTATTGTCTATTAAGTTTTTATGCTTCCAAGTTTGTAGGAATCATTTTCAAATTAGTGCTTCTTTCACCAATGGGGCTCGAACTCGAGCTATAAAAACCTTAGAGAAATTCACAAACTTGCAGCAGATTTTCAGTAATGTACATGAGTAATTTCCAAAACTTATCTACATGAGCAATGTAGCACATACGAACAAATATATCAATATATAAGCGGAGTCAAGAAAAGACATTAAAGGACTCGGAAGTTTTAGCAACCTTAATGAAAACATCTTCAAGAGTTGTGTCTGCAAGTCCCCAAGCAAACACTTTGAAATTGCTTTTCGCCTTCTCCACCGCCTGAAACACTTCCGAGATCCGAACTTCCTCTTTTGGGAGCTCAAATTTCTGTGTCCCTGCGGTGTGATATATCTTTTTGGCGTTTGGAGAAACATCTTGAACCAACATTTCCACATCTTGTTCATGTTCTGATGTTGTTGTTATCGTCAAAACATAAGATCCACCATACCTTCCCTTTAGATCTTTTGGGTTCCCTATGCATTGTAACCTTCCGTCTACAAAAATCCCCAGTCGGTCGCAAAGAAACTCTGCTTCTTCCATTGAATGAGTAGTTAGGATTATTGCAGTCTTTTGTTTTGCACGTTTGATGACCGTCCATAGGTTCATTCTTGAAGCTGGATCAAGACCTGTGCTCGGCTCATCCATATAAACCACCTTTAACAACAACAATTAGATGAAAAAATGGATTTGTTAAACGTTGTAAACGTGATGGTTAAAAGACAATGCCGTGTGCTAACCTTAGGACTCCCAATAAGTGAAATGGCCACGCTTAGTCGTCTTTTCATACCTCCGCTGTATTTGCCAGCAGGCTTATCAGAAACTCCTCCGTGAAATAGGTTCACACTCTTAAGAGACTCTTCTACAGCCTAATATAGATGCATGATTTGACGTTTTGGTACTTCAGAAGTAATGTAAAAGAGAAATAATATCGACGACATACTTGGGCGAGATCAGAGCCTTTGAGATTCTTAAGTCTCCCATAAAAGAGCAGATGTTCTCTTCCTGTAAGCGTCTCCCAGAGCAAGCTTGTACACAAACAAACAATAAGAGAATGATGAACAATAATTGTCAATTAGAATAAAATGTATTCAAGAATTTGAATAACTACTCGTGCTGCGGGCATACGCCCATGCTGGTGTATACTCTGTCCATATCATTGCATATATCCAAACCTTGAACAAGTCCTGTCCCAGATGTTGGTTTCACAAGCCCAGTCATCTGGCCAGGAAAAATACGGTACACCTTTTATATGCTAAACAGAGTTTTTCAAATGAAAATGCTAAAGATTTTCTTTCCATTAGGGTACTGACCATGTTGATGAAAGAGGTCTTCCCGGCACCATTGGGCCCTAACATGCCGAAGCATTCTCCTGAAGACACAGAAAGAGATAACCCTCGAACCGCCATTTTTGGCGGATTTCCATCCCTACCAGGATACACCTTCTTCAGGTTGTCACATACAATCTCATGCCTTGGGCTCGGCTCAAGCATCAGTTGCTTAACTTTTTCACACTGAATGGAACAAAAAAATTAATCAGAATAGCTAGGATCCAAAGAACATGGAATGTGTTGTGAATTCTTGCGCAATACCTCCTGAGCAATATCTAGTTTCTCCATTTCTTCGGAAACAGCAGAGACCTGTTTTTGCAAGCTAGGCCTTTGTGGAGAAGGAGATTTCCTGTAACAGGTTTTCAAGAGAAACAAAGGGTCTTTTCCGGATGAAGATATTTTATCTATATAGTGTGCAGCAACGAGTGCAACAAACCACTCAATGATTATTATAGAGAATACTTCATCCATTGTACTATCACCGAAGTCTTTCCACTTAATCCCATCCCTCCCATTCAAGTTTCCCCGAAAGGCATATCGAGAGAACTCATACAACCCACGGAATAAAGAGAACCCGGGATACAACTCCAGGAAAATAATCCATCGTCCTGGAAATAGAAAGATTTATTACCTTTGTGGTTAGTTGCAAGAATAAACATGTTGTTCTTGATAACTTACTGGGAAACGATATATCTTCGATTAGAAACTGGAAGAGAAACATGCCCAAGAGCCCAGATCCAAACACGTATATGTAAGCAGCAGCTACATTTTAACCATATACCTTTTAGCACCAACATTTTCCCAAGCAACATTTGAAAACATTTTAACTTTGATACCTGATGCTGTCTCAACTTTTGAAAATACTGAGGAAACTAGAAAGGCGAGAGAGATTTGCAGATTTATGCAGAGAAAATAGAAAATGAACTGGAAGCTGTAGTCATTAAGCAGAAAGAACTTCAGTCCTGCAAGGAACCAACTGCTATAATAACCTCAGAGAAAAAAACTTGTTCTAAACAAAAAGGAAAAATAACTATGGCAACGATTCAGTACCTATTACTGACCCAAATATCATTAAGCATATGATGTATAACGTGGAAATGGCGAGAAAATAGGCATAGGAAATCATCCAATATGGACCATCTCCTAGTCCATGCATTTGCATTATGATTCTTAGACGTTTCTGTTTCTCATACACCAATGAGGTCAAGATCACCTGCATACAAATTCCTGTAATTATCAACCACATGTCTTACGCTTGACAGGCTTTTGAAATTTGGCAAGTTGCTCCAAGTTTTACTGATGATGAATATATACGGAATGAGTTTTGTAAGAGAGTAAAGCAGTCTATTGTAGGCGAACTTACAGGCATCAGAAGAAGAACAACCCATGTGAAGAAAATGGGACCGATTAGAGACGCAATGTCTAAACGAAGTTTAGTTTCTGATTTCGGCATTTCTTTGACAAACTCAAACAATATCTTTGTCCTCGGGCCGTGCAAATACTGAAGATAAGCATTTGACACCTGCAGTTTTGCAGAGTTTGAGAATCTATTCAATCAAGAAACTGGTCCTACTTGGAAAGAGCATATTGCAAGTCTTGAATGCATCACTTAGTTTCTTACCAAATTGACTAAACGTGGAACTCGGACCAACTTAATAGGCCTATTTCTTTTTTCATCCTTGTATGTTGCGTTATACCATATATTCACATTGAAGTTAGTAGTATTTGTGTCCAAGAGATCATATGCTAAGGCAACCAATAAAAAACAAAAAAACAGAACAGAAACATTCAAAAATCTCATGTGCATACTAATAATAGTCATTACTAGATAAATGACAGAGCATTGAAACAACCTGCAGCGATCTCATTTATCGCCTTATCAGAATTTCCTTTCTGATAACCCTTGAAAATCTCATTATTGATCTCTTTGGAGCTATTCTTCCAAAGATTCAATCCTTGAACGCATCTCATCTCTGGTTTCGACAAAAAAAAAAGTTTTAAGTTAATCCACTACAATAGTAACTCCTGAGATGATCACTTTGTATAAGGACAATATATTGAAGCAAGAGATATTCTACTTTAAAAACTTGGGATATGCATACAAGAAGTTAATGTGATCAGTTATGACTACTCCATGGAATTGATAAATGTAAAATTTTATACCTTTGGTAATATTGAGAGGTGGTTGTCCGATTGAGAATGGAAACGTAGAGTTTGGAGGGCACCGAGGTTGGATATTGTATATGCTAGTATCCGAGACAATCCCTTCATCAAGATAATTGGTGGCACTTGCCTTAAATGTTGTAGCCTGAAAAACCATTTCAAAAAGAATCTCAAGATCCACACATTTCGTAATGTAAACAAACAGAATCTGAAGAGACCAGAGAACTTACCAACAACACGCTATTCGCTAAAGTAAACAAGAGGTCAGAGGAGTTCATTGTAAAAGACCTCCTAAGAAGATTTCGAGATAAAACTGTAGAAACACACAAACATTAGTTCCCGCGAAAACCGAGCCTGAACACATAATTTTTCCAGGGAAGCAAAAGCATACTTTCTGAAAGGGATTGATTATTCCCAGTGAAAAGTATAGTTACAGGACAATTATTTTTCCGCATGCACGATTTATCGGTGTAATTGGCATTGATAGCACGAGTCTGAGGACGCGGAATTAGCATCAAAGGAGGCCATGGTTGTGGATTTGGGATGGCACAAAAGACTCCTTGCTTTCTAGACGAATATTCTATACCACAGATGATTTCGCATTTACCGTCTCCAATTTTGTGACTTTTGTCAATACATGCACATCCACATTGATTATCCACTGAGTTATTAACCTGTGATTCGACCAGAGCTTGAATACACACAAGAACTACGCAGAGGTAGAAAGGGATCATGACGAGTCGAACATTACTCCATATGTTCCTTCTCTGCCAAAAAAAAAAAAAAAACCAATAAGAATTTTCCGAATTCAATGGTAATATAATAAGGCACTAGAGAATTTCCATAACCACATTGTTCGCAATTAACAAGAGTATCAAAATTGATCAGGCTACCACCGAAAAGCCTAGAAATTGTTTTCTGAAAGTTCTTCGGATATTTCAAAAAATCAGAAATGAAATTTACTGTAAAAATGATCCATGGAGTTCTCAAAATACCAAAGCATTGTGCATGTGTATGTAATTATGGATTTACTAAGGGAGATGAAAAGGCCAAACCTGATAGGTTAAGTTTTTTCGAAGTATGGCATTGGCTCGGGTCAAGAAGCTGGCTGGACCAGAGCCAGAACCAGAATCCGCCATTGATGAAGCTTTGGTAGCTTTTTTCTTCTTCTCTGTTTAATTTAAATCATCGCCAAATACTTTTAATCAAGAAAGGTATATTGTTTGGGTCATTAATCTGACTGAATCAGTGGGGGAGAAGCGCTTATTATCGACTCAATTTACCATTATACCCCTATGACTGTATTTATAATAAAATTTTCTCTTTTTTTAATTAAAATCAGAACATTCTTGAGTCACCTAATTTATTTGTTTTAGTTTTTCTATTTGATGACAGCAAAGTTAATGTATCCCAATTTGATAGGGATAAAGTAGTAATAATTCAGTTTTTTTAAAAACTATAGTTATATTTCAGTTTCATCTACAAACATTTTGTTAAATTTGATCACCATCTATATATTTAAAAAGGAATATTGAACTCTATTTTTGCTAATGTGTCACTCTCGTAATTTTTTTTAAATTTTTTTTTTTAATTTTCTATACTTATTACCAAATATTTTTATTTCTAAATATTACCTATCATTACTCTAAATCCAGTTGCCAAACACATTTGAATATTCATAAACTTGCCAAAAACAATT